TTTTACTTCTCTGGGAAGCTCTTTATCTCACCTTCAATTTTTTTGTTTGTTAATCCTCAACCAAAGATATTTTCCCATTGATTTTTTTTTTTTTAGATAAAGTGAAAGGTGGGGAAGAGAGAAAGAGAGAAACATTGATTGGTTGCCTCCTGCACTACCCCGACCAGGGCCAGGGATGGAACCTGCAACCCAGGTGTGTGCCCTTGACTGGGAATCAAACCCACAACCCTTCGGTCTGTGGGCTGACACCCTAACTGCTGAGCCAAACTGGCCAGGGCTCTCCTTTGATATTTATTTATTTACTTTATTATTTATTTATTTATTATTTTTATCCTCACCTCAGGACATTTTTTTATGTTTTGTTCAGATAGAGTGACTGCCACCCACATGACCCAACCAGGGCTGGGAACAAACTGCAACTGAGGTACATGCCCTTAGCGGGAACCGAACCTGGGTCTCTCTGGACCTCAGGCCAATTCTCTAACCAATGAGCAAAACTGGCCAGGGCTATTTTTAATATGTTTTTATTGATTTTTTTAGAGAGAGAAGAAGGGAGAGATAGAAACATTGATATGAGAGAGAAACATCAATCGGCTGCCTCCTGCACGCCCCTTACTGGGGATTGAGCCCACAACCCAGGCATATGTCCTGACTGGGAATTGAACCGAGATGTCTCAGTTCATGGGGTGATGCTCAATTCACTGAGCCACACTGGCTGGGTTCTCCTTTGATTTTAAGTGATAGCCTTGCTGGATAAAGTAATCTTGATTGTAGGTCTTTGCTTTTCATCACTTTGAATATTTTGTGCCAATCCCTTCTGGCCTATAAAGTTTCTGTTTAGAAATCAGCTGACAGTCTAATGGAAGTTGTCTTGTAAGTAACTAACTACTTTTCTCTTGCTGCTTTTAAGAGTTTCTCTGTGTCTTCAACCTTTGGCATTTTCATTATAATGTGTCTTGTTGGATTCATCTACTTTGGGACTTTGTGTTTTCTAGACTTATGTATCTATTTCCTTCACCAGGTTATGGAAGTTTTTCAGTTATTTTATCAAATAGGTCTTCAATCCTTGCTTTCTTCTCCTTCTGGTACCCTTATGATGCAAATGTTGGTTTGCTTGATGTTGTTCCAGAGGTCCCTTAAACTGTCCTCATTTTTAAAAGTTCTTTTTTCCTTTTTGCTATTCTGATTGGGTGTTTTCTACTACCTTGTCTTCCAAGTCACTGATTCTGTTCTCTGCTTCATCTAATCTGTTGATTCTTCTAGTGTATTCTTCATTTCAGTTATAGGATTCTTCATTTCTGACTGTTTTTTATGTTGTCCATGTCCTTTTGTTATATTTATTATCTCTTTGTCGAAGTTCTCACTTAGTTGATCTATTTTTCCTCTAAGTTTGTTGAACATTCTTTTAACCAGTGTTTTGAACTGTGTGCCTGGTATATTTCTTGCCTCTATTTGATTTAGTTTTTTTTCTGGAGTTTTCTCCTGTATTTTCATTTGGGACATTTTTTTTTCTCCTCATTATGGCTGCCTCCCTGTGTTTGTTTCTGTATATTAGGTAAATTAGCTATGTCTCCCAGACTTGTCAAGGTGTCATTATGTAGTAGGTGTCCGGTCAGGCCCAGGGACACAGACTTCCTGGTCTCCTGAGCCAGGTGCTCCAGAAGTGTTCCTTGTGTGGATTGTGTGTGCCTTCCTGTTGTAGCTGAGCCTTGATTGCTGTTTGTCAGTGGATAGGGCTGACTGGCTGTGAGAACTGGCCACAACCACAGTGAGACTCACCTTACCCCAGCAAGGTTCTGTTGCCTGCTGAGACTACCCTTTGTGTGTGCCATTTGTGAAGCTAATCTTTTGGTGCTCTGTTGTGGTCTTAGGCTGACTACTGGGTGTGTTGGTTCTGGGGCCTCTTGTTAAGGGCTTTAGTGCAGGCAGAGGTCATCTGCTGCCTGTGCTCAGCCTGGGGACACCAGAAGCTGCAAAGTGATCTGAGTTTGGCAGCTATGTTTGCTGGGCCCAGAGGTCTGTAGAAGAAGTCAAGGTGTAATCTGAGGTTGACTACCACCCACACTGGGCCTGTGGCCACTCAGCAAAGGCACAGGGCATACCGAGGCTAACCACCACCTGCCTGGGGCCTGTAGACCTTGGGGAGTTTTTAAGAAAGATCTCAGTGGGGGCTGAGGTTGCCTGTGAGGCACAGCCACTGAAAGAGCCAAGTGTGTGCATTGGGCGGAGTGAAGTCTTGGGGAGTCACCAGGGTGGGGCAAGCATTGTTTACCAGGTTAATGCACATTCAGATTTGGCTCCCACCTGCCCCTAAAGGCTGTGTGAGGGGAGGGTTCAACACAGGGACAATGGCAGCTTTCACCCCAAAGCCTCACAATTTAGTTTCTCCCCAAATGACTCTGGTGCCTTTTGAGCTGCTGGCCCTTCGTGGAAGCTCAGGGTGAGTGCCTGTGAGCGATTGTGCGGGCTCTTTAAGAGGACTGTAGGGTTTCCTGCAGTCTTCTGTCTGACCTGACCTGGGAGGAATCCCCACAGAGCTGTGTGGGTTGGGATCTCAGGGAGTCACAAGGGATGGGTGACTGGTATTTACTTGGTTAATGCAGACTCAGATTTGGCACTTGCCTGCCCTATAGGCTGTGTAAGGGGAGAACTCAGTGGCAGCCCCCGCCTTGAAGTCAAATGACTCAGTCTCTCACAGTAAGTCTCTGGTGCCTTTCAAGCTGCTTACCCTTTGCTGGAGCTCAGGGTGAGTCCTATGAGCAAGTGAGTCTGTGCATGGGCCCTTTCAGAGGATGCCCGGCTGTCCAGCCGCTCTCCATCTCACTGTGCTGGGACAGAATCACTTCTGGTCTTCACATCCAGCTGTTGCAGGGACTACTCTTTCCGGCACTGAATTTCTGGGCTAGAGAGCCTGTGTGGGGGCTGGGACCCCTTGCTCCTAAGTGGGACCTCTGCTGCTGGGATATTCTTCTTGATTCTCAATCTCTACATGTGGGTGTGGGACCAGCCTGTTTCACGTCTCTGGCCTCCTACAGGTCTTGATGTGGTCTCTTCTTTATATCCTTAGTTATAGGAGCTTCTTTCAGCTAGTCTTCAGGTGGTTCTCCAGGTGTATTGCCCTATAATTTAGTTGTAATTTTGATGTGGTCATGGGAGGAGGTGAGCATATTGCTTATCTCCTCTGCTATCCTGACCAGAACCCATTTATTTCACATTCTTTTGCAATTCTATTACTGATTGTTCTAGAGATTGCATCTTACATCCTTAACTTATTTAAATTCAATACAAATTATTAATTATACTTTTCGCATTTCATACCATATGCAAGGACCTTAGGACACTTTAAGATTACTCACTCTCCCTTTCCTGTCTTTGGTGCTATTTTTATAACACTTTAAAATTCTGTGGGTGTCTGTGTGGTTTTGTTTGTTTGTTTGTGAATCCTCACCCAAGGATATTTTCCCATTGATTTTTAGAGAGAGTGGAAAGGAAGGAGGGAGGGAGGGCCAGGGTTCACACCTGCAAGCCAGGTACTTTCCCTTGACTGGCAATCAACTCCAAGGCCCTTCCATCCACAGACCAACTCTTCCTGCTGAGCCAAACCTGCCAGGGCTGTATTAGTGTTTTTAAACAGTCAGTCCTTTTTTTAGGTTTATCCACATTTCATTCCTGTTTGTTTGGTTTTTTTTTTTTACATTCCTTCCCACCTGTCTGCCCTCCATATGAGATCATCTTTCTTCTTAAAGAACTCAGTGTTTTCTTTAGTGAGAGCTGACTAGTGATGGGTTTCCTTAGTTTATGTTTGTCTGAAACTGTTTTTATTTCACTTCTTTTTTGAAGGCTATTTTTGCAGGATATAGAGTTGTAGGTTAGCAGGGGGTGGGGTTAGGCCCTTTGAAAGTAATGTTTGTTTTCTGGCTTCTATCACTTCACTCAGTCTTCTTATATTTTTTGTGAAGGTACTATGCTTTTGTCCCGCTTAAATCTCTTTTATAGTTTCCAGTTAACCTCATAAAGTCTGTACATTGTCTTAGCTTCTAACCGTTCTCTGCTTTCTTAATCTGCCCTAATCTGGTTTTTCTTCACTCCTCTTTATTTATCTTTGTTACCCAATCAGATTATTTCTTAAATTTTCATGTATGATCCTTCTTTTGAATTTTTTTCAGTTTTCACTATATATATATTGCTTACTTGTTTCTTTATCTTTCTCAAAATTTGCTATTTGCTTTTCATGATATTCTTCACTTTAGAAATTTCATACTTAATTTGCATGGGTACATCTGTTGATTGTATGCTGAGAATTTTGCACCTATCTAATAAAAGGTTAATCATTAGTCTTCTTTATAAATTACCAGAAGCCTATGTTTCCGGTTGTGAATGAATTATAAGGCTGATTTTGTGATTCCAAGGGAGCCTTGGTATTGTATAGAAAAGAAGGTTTTCTAGTAGCTGAACTGCCTTGTGCTTGTTTTCTGCTTATAGTTCCCAATGTTTCTGAATGTGTCCTTTCATTAGCTCATATTTCGTGTATCAGACTTCCAGCAGACTCTTTCACCTTGCTGTCCCATTGTAACTTGTGACTACAAAATGAATAACCGAGCTCATTATCTCAATAGCTCTGTCAGTCTTATCGTGTGCTCACACTTTATTTTTCTATCAGTGGACCTCCACTCTACCAGTCACCAAATTTAATGTCATTTTTTTATTCATGCATCTCCTTTGCCACTATACCCCCAAGTTTTACCAGATCCTCTTTAACATTTCTTAGACTTCAACTTCCTCTCAATTGCTATCACCACCCCTCTAACCTCAATTTGTGAATTCGTCCCACCTCATGAGTAGTTAGATTGAATCGTTTGGAATGATGCAAGAAAAGAATTGTTAAGAACTTAAATCAGAAAAGATATTTTAAATCATTATAGGTGTAACTAGGTGTTGGAAATATAATTATTAGGCAAAATACTTCCAGGTATAACTTTTGATATAAACATTCTCAACAGGCAATGAACACCAGGGAAAGTGGCAAAGCTTCATCCAGTCTAGGTCTTCAGGATTTTGATTTGCTCCGGGTAATAGGAAGAGGAAGTTATGCCAAAGTACTGTTGGTTCGATTAAAAAAAACAGATCGTATTTATGCAATGAAAGTTGTGAAAAAAGAGCTTGTCAATGATGATGAGGTAAGCACAATGTTTTATTACTTCTGAACTGTTCAGTTGGCTTTAGTGCACCATTTCAGAGAAAACTTCAATGTTTGTGACTTATTTCATTCTACTTTTCTAAATAATGCTTCAAATGGATTATATAAGATATATTTAAAGAAATCTGATAATTATTAATTTTTTGTTTGTTTGCTTTTCTTTATTGATCTGAGAGAGAGAGGAAAGGAGAGGAAGAGAGAGATAGAAACATTAATGAGAGAGAATATCAATTGGCTACCTCCTGCATGCTCCCCTCTGGGGATCTGGCCCACAACCTGAGCATGTGCCCTGACCGGGAATTGAACCAGCGACCTCTTGGTGCATGAGTTGATACTCAACCACTGAGCTACTCTGACCGGCAATTAGTAGGTTTTTTTAAAATAAAAATAAGCCCTGGCTGGTTTTGCTCAGCAGTTAGAGCCTTGGCCTGCAGACCAAAGAGTCATAGATTCAATTCCAGTTAAGAGCACATACCTTGGTTGAAGTTCGGTTCCCAGCCCTGGTCGGGGTCATGCAGGAGGCAGGCACCCAATCGATGTGTCTCTCTCACATCGATGTCTCTCTCTCTCTCTCCCTCCCACTCTGTCCAAAAATAAATGGAAAAATACCCTCAGGTGAGGTTTAAAAAAAAAATCAAACCATATTATGATCAAATAGAAGTACTTGATTGAGCTTTGTAAACGTTTTCTAGACTATTTCATAATTTGAGAGAGGAAGGGAGAGGGAGAGAGAGAGAGAAACATCGATGAGAAAGAACATTGATTGGCTGCCTCCTGCCACTGGGGATCGGGCCCACAACCTGGGCAGGTGCCCTGACCAGGAATCAAACCAGCAACCTCTTGGTGCATGGGTCGATGCTCAACCACTGAGCCACACCAGCCAGGCCTGTTTCATAATATTGAAATATTTATTGGTGGTGTTTTTCTCTTTGTATATAAATTGTTGTATGATTATTAGTTGTATTTGTGATCATTGACTTGCTAAGAACAAATATATCATAGTTTTTATAATATTTCAGTTTGATAAAGATTTCTTTAATATTTTAAAATAGGATATTGACTGGGTACAGACAGAGAAGCATGTTTTTGAGCAGGCATCCAATCATCCTTTTCTCGTTGGGCTGCATTCTTGCTTTCAGACAGAAAGCAGGTAAGATTGGAAGATAATGGAGTGATTACTGGGCTTTATGTACTTTGGTGTATTACACAATAAGAACCCTTCCCACTATAAGTCCTGAAGAGGAAGTCATGAAGACAGACACAACACTTTGATGCTTATTACTTCCTGACACTCATACTCCAGTTAGTGATACCTATTTGGATTAGCTTGAAGAAATTACCTGCTTAAAAAAATAGCCAGGTTGTAATATGGCAGTAGAAATCCAAACTTTTAAATATCCCTAAGATTTTAGTTTTAGGACTTAAAGTTTTCCAGAGTTTAACTAGGGGAAGAAATTCTAACTTCTTTTCCTTAAGGGACAAGTTGAAGTGATTTATCGAGCAAATGCTAAAATTGGGGTGGGAGTGAAAGGGTCTGGATTGCAGGTGGTACTACAGAAGTAGCAGGTTACAGGATTATTACCATGCTGGTTTACTCTCGTATCGTCTATGAATAAACAGCTTTCTACTCCAACCACCCTTTGTTTCCATCAGATTCCTGGGATTCTTGTCAAGTGTAAATGATAGAATGCTCTCTGTGTTGTGACTGGTCTCCATGGTGTCTGAAATACAAAGTTACACTGCCTCGTTTTGGATCTTGGTTTCATGTGTTCTCTCCTGTGTTTTAGATTGTTCTTTGTCATAGAGTATGTAAATGGAGGAGATCTGATGTTTCATATGCAGCGACAACGAAAACTTCCTGAAGAACATGCCAGGTAAGTTTTTTGGTATTGTGTTAGATTTTGGGGGGACTGCTGTGGGAATTTTTTTTTATGTGCAAGTGGTTGAAAACAGTAGATAAATCATTTATTTTAATACTACTTCTTTTTAAGTCATATAGAGGCTAAGCTAAATATTAGTTTATGTTGTAATATATGACATAATATGAAATATTATGTATTACATATGTAATTAAAAAGTATAAACAGTATTAAGGGTAAACTTTAGTCAACTAAACCCAATTATTTTCAAATATTTTGTCTGTTCAGCATCAGCTTCTGAAATAATTGATGAATTTATAAATACTATTTATAAATACTTATTAATCTTATCAGGTTGCCCTGCTTTCTGACAGTTTTTCATTGAAAGATTATTATTCATATATACTTCAGAGTAATAAAACAATTTCTCTTAAGGTATTATATATTTCTGACTCTTCATCTTATCATTATAATTTATGAATTGGTCTGCTGTTGACTTTTCCCTCTCTAATCCCATACATGTTGGTGAATAAGAACAAAGAGCATTAAATGTTATTTATTTAGCGCCCTTTCTTTGATATTATTATACAAGGTTGTAAATTGTTTATAGTTGGAAGAGTTAGATGGGGAAGGATTGTGGCCTTAGATTTTTAGTTCATCAGTACCATGTTTTGCTTTTTACTAATAATTAGTAGTAATTCTCACTCTTGTGCTTCACAAGAATAATGAAAAATTAAAGCATAGGAGTTTATACATGTCTATCACAAAGGTTAGAGATTTTATTTTTTAAAATAACTTAGTGAAAATCTTGCTAATGCACTGATTTTTGTTTCTTGTCAAAAAGAAATGTATCCTTCAATTTCCTAAGAAGGTATAAATTATGTTAGTCTAACCTCAGGGCCAAACTGTTCTTTTTTTTAATTTACTTTATGTTAATTGTTTATTTAGGCTTTGTCAAATGGTCACCCTTCATAGCAAAGCCACAGATGATACTTTATTTTGTGAACTTAGCCAGTATTTGTTCCTTGTTTGTTCAGTGAGACATGGGGAAAGTAGTCCAGTTTTACTGTATTAAAGTTCCAATTTTTTTTTTTACCATGTTTGCTTTTCTAGAAACCAAAGTACAGAATAAGGGCTCAAGTTCCCTATTCATAGAATTAAGTAGCTGGAAGGTATATATTATGTGCCTTCAAACAAGATTGTGATAACATTTCATCAAAGTAGCCATAAACCAGCTTAGTTGTTTTATTTTCATTATTCAGGTCAAAAGTTCTGATTATCACCAATGAGTTAGTGGCAGTTCTAAAACTTTTTCTTTCTTTCTTTTTTTTGATTTTTTTTGTCCTTATTGATTTTAGAAAGAGAGGAAAGGAGAGGGAGAGAGAGATAGAAACATCAGTGAGAGAGAATGCCAACTGGCAGCCTCCTGCATGCCCCCCACTAGGGACCAGGCCCACAACCTGGGCATGTGCCCTGACTGGTAATCGAACCAGTGACCTCTCTGTGCATGGGTCGATGCTCAACCACTGAGCCACACCGGCCGGGCTAAAACTTTTTTTTTAATATTAAATGTCATAGTTGTAGAATTATATTTTTCCATTTATTTTCTAGGAATTTTGGTATGGATTTATGGTTTGAGTAGTGAACTTTTAGTATTCTTTTAGTATTCTAGATGAATCAGTGGGTCTTAGCTTTTTGTGAGGTCTTTGGTTCTTTAGAGAAGTGATACAAGCTGTGGCAACTCTACAGAAGATGTACGTGTACACAGGTACATGCAGCTCTACCCCTGGACTTGTGGTAGGTGTGTGGACTTCCTGGAGTCCATCCAGATTAAGAACCCTTGTTTGAGGCTTTCAAATGAATAACTTCATGAAAAGTGTTAGTTTAATTTATACTTGGATCTTTGATCGTTGTGTCTTGGGTTCAGATACTTTAGAGGGGTACTTCAATTTGTGTTGATATTGTTCCTAAAAACACTAGGAGGAAAAAAATCTTTTGACATGATTTTGATGTTTTATTTATTTATTTATTTATTTATTTATTTATTTTAATCCTCACCTGAGGATATTTTTACATTTGTCTTCAGACAGAGTGGGAGGGGGAGAGAGAAACATTGATGTGGGAGACACACATCGACTGGCTCCCACCGGCACAACCCGAACTGGGGCAGGGGACGAACCAGAACCGAGGCACATGCCCTTGGTTGGAATTGAACCCTGGACTCTTTGGTCTGTGGGCTGACGCTCTAACTGCTGAGCCAAACCGGCCAGGGCATGATTTTGATGTTTTAATTTGGAGACCGCAACAGGACTTAAATAACTCCCTCTAGAAACTTACTACAATTTAAAAACTTGAATAAAATTAGTTATTTTTCATTTTATTTTAGATTTTACTCTGCAGAAATCAGTCTAGCATTAAATTATCTTCATGAACGAGGGATAATTTATAGAGATTTGAAACTGGACAATGTATTGCTGGACTCGGAAGGACACATTAAACTGACTGACTATGGCATGTGTAAGGTAAGGGTAAATTCTAGTTACTCAAAAGATCCCAGCTGCTCATAAAATTGTTTTGGTAAAATAACTTCATGTTTAACTTCCTTTTTTTAAATTTAAATTTTTTTTTATTGATTTTAGAAAGAGGAAGGGAGAGAGAGAGAGATTGAAACATCGATGAGAGAAAACATCGATTGGCCGCCTCCTACATGCCCCCCAGTAGGGTTCGGGCCCACAAACTGGGCACATGCCCTGACTGGGAATTGAAGTAATAACCTCTTGGTGCATGGGTCAACGTTTATCTGCTGAGCCACACTGGCCAGGCAATAACTTCATATTTAAAGATGGGGAAATGATTGCTGCTTTGTTTAGGGTACTTTTTGGAATTGTAGCACAAAGACAAGTATGCACGGTGAGGCAAAAGTAGGTTTACAGTTGATCGTATGGAAAATAATACAATAATTAATAAATAATAAAAATTAACTGTTTTACATACTTAAAACTGTAGACCTACTTTTGCCCCACTCTGTAGTTATTTTCTAACCATTTACAAAATTCCATATTTTCTGTTAGTGTTATTTATCCTATAATGAGTTAATGTCTATTTATGCTCTGTAACATTTTTTCGGAAGTTGTGATTACTATTAAAAATTGAAAATAAAAATTATCTACAGTCCTTCAACTTTAACACTACTACTTGCATATCATCTTGCAATTTTTGTCATTTAATTTGTAATTCTTAATAATGCATTTAAGATGTTCCTAGGAAATCTAACTCTTTTTATATTTAAAATCTAAATATCTCGCATAAAATACAATAGAACAAAATAAGAATTTTAGCTATTTTGGGGACACATCCTTTATTTCTTGGTGTTTTATTCTTTTTGTACCAGTGCTTTGTTTAAGGGTTCAGTCTTTGTGTAGGGAGCTACTCTCCTCAGAATTACTGTCACACAGCAATAAGGCAGCAAAGAGGTAATTGTGTGAATTGCATTCCCCTGTTCACCTGAGGGACACCTGAGGGACGTGCCTTCAGAGACTGGAGATATTCAAATGCTAACATTAAGATGGTCTAATAGGACTACGGATTTAATCTTACCTGTTCAGCAGTATTAGAAAAGAAAATTTTCACTTAAAGGGTTTTTTGCTTTTATGTACAAAACTCAGACATTTGCCTTTTCTTTCTTTCTTTTTTTTTTTTCTTTATTGATTTTGGAGAGGGAGAGAGAAATAGAAACATCAATTGGCCACCTCCTGCATGCCCCCCACTGGGGATTTAGCCCACAACATGTGCCCTGACTAGGAATCAAACTAGTGACCTCTTGGTGCATGGGTTGATGCTCAACCACTGAGCCACACCAGCACAGTGACATTTGCTTTTTCTTATATTACATTTTTATTTCCTTTAATTTTCTGTTATGCAAATTTTTATCATACACAAATAGAGATTTAGTAGGTGAACCCCTCTATATCCATCATTTAGATTTGCAATACCTTTTGATCACTGTATCATTTTTTCCCCCAGCGTGCTTTTTCTCATTTCAAAAGAAAAATGACAATAATAAAGGAATCATAATTTATCAAGGGAAAATAAAGCCGAACATAATAATATGAAGAATGTTAAGCTTGTTACAAAGTGTAAAAATTAAAACAATAATGAGCCCTTTTTTTGGCATCTCAGATATGGGTTTTAAAATTATAATAGTCTCACCCTGGCCGGTTTGGCTCAGCAGTTAAAGTGTCTGCACGTGGACCAAAGAGTCTCGGATTCAATTCCGGTCAAGGGCATGTACCTCGGTTGCAGTTTGTCCCCGGCCCTGGTTGGTCGTGCAGGTGGCAGCCACTCGATATGTCTCTTTCACGTCGATGTTTTTCTCTCTCTCTCTTCCTCTCTCTCCCTCCCACTCTATCTGTGCAAAAAATGGAAAAATGTCCTCGGGTGAGGATAAAAAAAAAAAAAAAAAAGAAAGAAAGAGAGGAAAGGAGAGGGAGAGATAGAAACACATGGATCATCTGCCTCCTGCACACCCCCCAACGGGGATTGAACCCAAAACCCAGTCATGTGCCCTGACCAAGAATCAAATCAGTGACTCTTGGTGCATGGGTCCATGCTCAACCACTGAGTCACACTGGCTGGGCTTTTTGTAGTATTTTATGATAAACAGTATAGATAATCTAAATGGCCACTGGTAAGAAGAATGATTGAGGAAATTATGGAACGATTACAAAACATAGCATATGAAGTCATATAAAAAGATGAGCATATGAAGTCATATAAAAAGATGTTTATAAAAATTCATAACTGTATAAAAATTCATAACTTTTTTTTTTTTTTAATCCTCGCCCGAGGACATTTTTCCATTTTTTGTTCAGATAGAGCGGGAGGGAGAGAGAGTAAGGGAGAGAGAGAGAGAAACATCGACGTGAAGGGACACATCGAGTGGCTGCCACCCACACGACCAACCAGGGCCGGGGACAAACTGCAGCCGAGGTACGTGCCCTTAGCGGGAACCGAACCCGGGTCTCTGTGTACCACAGGCCGACGCTCCAACCGCTGAGCCAAACTGGCCAGGGCCATAACTATTAAATGCTTATAACATTTAGTAAAGTTTTTTTTTTATCCTCACCCGAGGACATTTTTCCATTTTTTGTTCAGATAGAGTGGGAGGGAGAGAGGTGGAGATAGGGAGAGAGACGAACATCAACGTGAAAGGGACACATCGAGTGGCTGCCACCCACACAACTCACCAGGGCCGGGGACAAACTGCAATCGAGGTACGTGCCCTTAGCGGGAACCGAACCCGGGTCTCTCTGGACCGCGGGCTGAAGCTCCAACCACTGAGCCAAACCGGCCAGGGCAGAAAGTTTTAAGGTATAGAATTCTCTAATTCTAGATGTGTTATATATCCTGTTATGTATTCTATTATATAGCATTACATATCCTGTTTACTTTTATATATTTTAAGTCATTATAATGGGCATACATTACCTAAACAGTAAAATTTATAAAAATTAATGCTTTCTTTTTCTCTGTCTCTATCTTTCTCTTCTGTCTTTTTTTTTTTTTTTTTTAATGTAAAGAAATTTGGGAATCCTGTTTTGCCTGGAAGATTTTATTAGAGAAAGATTACTTAATCTTTTGTTACTCTTAATGATAAACCATATTGGTTTATTATACATTCTCATTCTTTTCAGAGATTCTCAACCAAGTTGATCAGGATCTTTGATAAATCTTAGAGGTCTTACTCAGTAGGGTTTTAAATTCATTCTCCTGCCTACCTCCCTTTTTGCCTTTCCTCCTTTTTCAGGAGCTGCTTAGTTTTATGAGTAGCAAAAGACACCAGGATTGGAACTTCTATTCAAAGACTTTACTAATAGTATTTTTTCTCTTCTCTCACTAACACATTTATACCCCTGTGATGTTAAAGCTTATGTGAAATGAATCCCCAGGAAATAGAATGTTCTTGTCTTAGGATTTAAAGTCAGTATTTAAACTTACCTAAAGTCTTACCTCTGGCAAATGTTGGATACATTTTTTTCCCTTGTAACAACAGTTCCTTGGGCAATCTAAAACACTAAAAAAAATTGTGTGTAGTTTCTCCAGAAATATTTCCTTAAGGTTCAATTAATTTAATTAACTTTTTCACTTTCTCACTAGATGCTTTTATATAAAGAGTGCTTAGGGTAATGATGACCAGAGGCATATGAAAACTTGAATTAATATCTTCAGGCTTATATTTGAAATATTTTATGAACATTGATTTTATGGATTGAAAAACTTTGACGATTTTATGAATTAATATGCCTTTAACTATTTCATTTATCAGCAGAGGAATTTTAATAATAACATCTTGGCGCCCTGGTCAGTTTGGCTCAGCAGTTAGAGCGTCAGCCCCCGGACCAGAGAGTCCCAGGTTCAGTTCCCGCTAAGGGCACGTACCTCGGTTGCAGTTTGTCCCCTGCCCGACCCGGGCCATGTGGGTGGCAACCACTCAATGCGTCTCTCTCATGTCGATGTTTCTCTATCTCTCTTCCTCCCTTTCTCCCTCCCACTCTATCTGAAGATAAATGCAAAAATAATAATAATAATAATAACATCTCGGTTACACTGTAGATAATTTAGTTGATGGGCCTATGTTTAGATATTCAACAAGTGAATAATTTACAGTCTGTTACATGTTAACAGACTGCATCCCTTGTCTCTGACTTTTGCTCTGAAAGTATATGTCATTTATCATTAAACTGTATCTCAAGTCATTGCCAATAGAATAAAACAACTTAAATCACAGTCATATTTCCTTGTGTACAGAATAGCTTATATATCCCTTTAAGGAATCACAAGATAATTCCAGGAGTCACAACATCTTACTAAATATTTCTTCTAGATGTTTATAGAAGTGTTATATATGATAGAGTAAAATTTAAAGAAAATATGAGCCCACAACCTGGGCATGTGCCCTGACTGGGAATTGAACCAGCAACCTCTTGGTGCATGGGTCAATGCTCAACCACTGAGCCACATTGGCTGGGTTCCCCATTTTTTTTGGGGGGGGAGGAATTTTGTACCATCTAATTTAATAGTAGGGACATGGTTAAATTATAGGTATATACATTCAGTTGAATTTATACAGTCATTAATAATAGGGAGTCTGGCCCTGGCGGGTTTTGCTCAGTGGTTAGAGCGTCAGCCCTTGGACCAATGAGTTGCAAGTTCCAATTTTAGTCAAGGGCACATACCTCGGTTGCGGTTCATCCCCGACCCTAGGTGGGTCGTGCAGGAGGCAACCAGTCGATGTAGCTCTATCACATCGATGTTTCTCTTTGTGTCTCTCTTTCTCTCTTCCTCCCTCTCACTCTGTCTGATGATAAATGGAAAAATATCCTTGGGTATGGAATAAAAAAAGTAAAATAAAATAAATAATAGGAAGTCTGTAATTACACAGGAAATCACATGCTAATAAACTAAAAGAAGCCAATGCTTAATTGTTTATTTAATATTATTCACCTCATTTTTACACCATCTTTTGTTGATTTCTTATTTAATTTCCCTGTAGCTAGAGAATGGTTTGAATAATATTGGTTCTTTGTAATATATTGAGATTTCCTTTATGACTTAGTATTTGGTCAGTATCCCACATGTACTTAAAAAAGGCTATATAATCTCTATTTTGCAAGCAAGGAGTCTCTTTCATATACATACTCTCTCCTTCCTTCTTCCTTTCTCCACACACAAACATAGATAAACATATTCTATATGTTTATAATTTATATCTATTTCTAGCTCTAGCTTTTGTCCAAAGCTTTCTCTGCTTACTAATTTTTTGTCTGTATCATCCATTGTTTTTTATGTAAATGTGTTAAAATCACCTGTAATGATTGGGAATTATATTATCAGTTTGGGCTGCTTCAAAACAAGGTGGCTTCAAAAACAAACATCTGTGCCCAGCCGGTGTGGCTCAGTGGTTGAGTGTCGACCCATGCACCAAGAGGTTGCCAGTTCGATTCCTGGTCAGAACACATGCCCAGGTTGTGGGCCAAATCCCCAATGGGGGGCATGCAGGAGGCAACCAATCAATGTTCTCTGTCATCCATGTTTCTATCCCCCTCTCTCTCTCCTTTCCTCTCTCTAAAATCAATAAAGAAAAAAAATTTAACATTTGTTTCTAATGATTCTGGAGGCTGGGAAGTCCAAGGTCAAAGTGCCAACAGATCCTGTGTCCAGTAGAGGCACTCTTCCTGGTTTGCAGATGGTTGTCTTCTTTTCATACCCTCCCATGGGAGATGGTGAGGAGGGCTAGCCTTCTTCCTCTTTTAAAACAATTTTTTTCCCTTTTATTGATTTTAGAGAGAGAGGAATTGAGAGGGAGAGATATAAACATCGATGGGAGAGAACATTGATTGGCTGCCTCCTGCATGCTCCCCACTGGGGATTGGGCCCACAACCTGGGCATGTGTCATGACCGGGAATCGAACAGGTGACCTCTTATGCATGGGTCGAAGCGCAACCATCGAGCCACACTGGCCGGACCTTCTTTCTCTTTTTATAAGGACACTAATCCCACCATGGGGGCTCTAAACTCATGATCTAATTATCTTTCAAAGACCCTATCTCCCCTACCACATTAGGGCTGCAACATAATATGAATTTGGGGGGCACATTGCAGGGATTGTGAAATTCTAATAATTTTGTCTGTTTTTACTCTTTGTATTTTGAGGCTGTGTAGCTAGGTGCATACACAGTTTGTTATAACTTATGGTGATTGCTCCGTTTGTTATTGTGTAATTTCTCTTTTTGTACATATTAGTGGGTTTTATCTTAATTTTCTTCATCTGGTAGCTACTAAAATACAAAACCAAAAATAACTTATGCCTTAGGAACAACCAGAAGGGAAACATCATAATGCCAGCAGTGGTTGTACTAGGAGTGGGGTTTACAGTGCCTCTTCGCACCCTGGCCAGTTTGGCTCAGTGCTTAGAGTGTGGGCCCGTGGACCAGTGAGTTTTGGGTTTGATTCTGGTCAAGGGCACATGCCTCAGTTTCGGTTTGTCCCTGGCGGGGTCATGGGGAAGACAACCAGTTGATGTGTCCCTTTGCATCAATGTTTCTCTGTCTCCCTCCTTCCTACTCTATCTGAAGGTAAGTAGAAAAATATCCTCGGGTGAAGATTTAAAAAATAAATAAAGTTCTTGTTTTCTTCATTAAGTATGATTTTACGCAAATATAATTAAATTTTTCTATTAAATTTTTACTTGACTATAAATTATTTTAAATGCAATTTTCATCTTAATTGAACTGACCTTTTATCAACATCTAATGAAGGCAGATTTTTCTTTAATCTATTATTTGAATAATAAAGGCAACTGGGCTGTGATATTTTATTTAAGCTTAATATATTACCTACAGATGCCAAGCTTACAGAGATGAAATAAAAGAGGTGAATTTGAAACAGAATTTTGAGTCTTACTGGTTTTTGTTTTTGTTTTTTTTTTCTTTTTTTCATAAAAGGAAGGATTACGGCCAGGTGATACAACCAGCACTTTCTGTGGTACTCCCAATTACATTGCTCCTGAAATTTTAAGAGGAGAAGATTACGGTAATAAGTTAATAGGTGGTATTTTAGCTATATGCTAAAAGGGTGGTTAGATGTGGTGCAAATTGCATTATAGTACACTGTAGTGTTTCAGTGCTAATCTTATTAGTATAAACTTGATCCCCTTAAAACCTACATTAAAGCCCAAGCTGTGAAATTGGAGACAGTGGGACTTTGACAGTATTTGGGGTACAAATTTGAATGATACTTTATTAGTGACAAGCATTGAAGAGTACTAGACACTATTCTGTGCAGTTTGCATATAAGTTAATCCTCTCAATCATATGAAGTAAGCACTGTTAATGCCCATTTTACAGACAATGAAACTAATGTATACAAAATTTAAATAACTTTCCCAGGGTCATACAACTAGCAAGTATCAGAGTAGAGATTCAAACTTCATCCATGTGACTCCAGAGTTATGAACCTCTAGAAGGTTGTCCAGATTTCCTGGGATATTTCCCTGAGGAATCGGAAAGATGGTGGGAAGATAGACTGCTTGTCAGACACCAGGGGATACATTTATTTTAAGAAAACACATGACTGCTTTGGTTCTGGACCTCTCATTTTAGCAGATGTCAAGGAGAATGGGTACTTCTGACAGCTGCTCATACTCTGATTCCAAAGTCCTTCAAGGATCTTTAATCAGCTAGCAGAAGATGAAGTTTTAGACACAGAAAGGTTATTCTCAAATGTAATTTAATTATATCAACAAAATAAAATGTTAGATACAGGCTATGAGTCTGAAACTAAAGATTTATTTGCGAAAAGAAACGTAAATATTTCATTTTTTATATTTTATTTTTAAAGTTATCTCTCAGGTACCTCCCCTTGTTGATAAGTGAAATATGCTTGGAATCCTCTATGCCTACCCTGATAGTTATTGCATTTAGAGTTTACTTTCTCATTATATTTATGTTTTCATTATGTAATACAATGAATCTCAAATTGGTGACTTTCCAGAATGCAGATTGGGTAATATATTGCTTTGAAATTTCTCTTTTGAAGGTTTCAGTGTTGACTGGTGGGCTCTTGGAGTGCTCATGTTTGAGATGATGGCAGGAAGGTCTCCATTCGATATTGTTGGGAGCTCCGATAACCCTGATCAAAACACGGAGGATTACCTTTTCCAAGGTAATTGGCAGAATTTTGCAGAGTCTCTGTAAATAACATATTCTAGAGCATCAATGAGGATGCCTCAAGTTATTACTTTGAGTAAGAAAGAAGAAAATAATCTGGACAATATACTCCTTAATATGTGAGGCTTTGACTTTTTTTTTTATACATCCTTTCTACCTCTGCAGTCTTCAGTCACATTCACCAGTTACCTTCTCAGACTCAAAACCTTAGTTTCCTTAGATTGCGTATCATAAACAGAGATTGGAGGAAGGACTTCTGCGGCTAGAGAGGATGGACTTTTCACATGGGCCCAAGGCTGAGTCCCTAAGTTTAAGAACAATATGGGGAAAAGAAAGAGTCCCAAGAATATAAGAGGTATCAAAAGGTGAAGGGAAAAAAAGCCCTACAATTGGAATACAAAGAATTGAACAGAAGAGAAACAAGCAGATAAGCACTGGGACCCCCCAATACACAGTCCAAAGAAGTGCGAAGATTGCCATAAAATTCTGTATTTAATACTAAGGGCCATCACAGGATATGAGTACTATTTCAAGTAATAGGAAATCCAAATGCCCATGGAATATGTAGAAAGATGTTCAACCCTACCAGTGATAGGGGTATGCACATTGAAACATTAATGAACTACTTCTATTTCATACCTCATACATGTGGCAAAAACCGCCGGTGCTGGTGAGGATGTGGAGCAGCTGGAGCTCTCAGAGGCTGCTGGGGGGAGTGAACCCAACACGTCTGAAGAGCAATTTGGCAACATCCAGTCAAATCCAAAATAGTGATATGTGCCACACATTTTCCAGACATTAACTCATTTAAAGTTCATAACAACCCTAAGAAGCAGGTATTATTTTTATTCCAGTTTTACAGGTGAGGGAACTAAGGCACAATAAGGCAGTCAAAGAATAAACATGCATGTAAATGAATAAAACCAGTATTCAGATTAGAGGCTATTTCTGAGGAGGAAGAAGAGGATTGGGACTGGGAAGGTACACGAGACATGTAGGTCGTGTGTGTCATGTCTTACTTTTTTCTGCTAAAATGCCTTATATATCACATAATAAAAATGTAAAGATTAAATCCATGTAAAAGTTAAACATAATGCCATTATTTTATCTTTCTAGTTATTTTGGAAAAACAAATTCGCATACCACGTTCTCTGTCTGTAAAAGCTGCAAGTGTCCTGAAGAGTTTTCTCAACAAGGTATACACCGTGTATAGAAAGCTTTAGTGGTTTATCTCTGTAAATGAGACTCTAAGTAGAGGGTCAAGAATTTAAAATTACAAAATATCAGAGGATGTAATTTTTTCAGTTATATCTAGAATTTGTCTCTTCACCAAGGAGTAATCTGACAACATTAGATACTGAGATGAGTTGTCCTTTCCATTTGCCAATATAAGTTACACTCAGCTGTATATTCCGTATGGTGTTTTTATTATTATTATCATCATCATCATCATCATCATCATCATCATCATCATCATTTTTACTTAAGGGAAGGTTTATTTAGAAAGTTACAGGGGTGGTAGAAGTGCCCGTAGAGCTTAGGAGAAAGGGCAAGGGGTTCGCACCTTGAGGGATGAAAGAGGGAGGAGCGGTGCCCCTGTGCCCGGGGAAGGAAGAGGTGGGGAAGGGAGCTGGTTGCTCTGTAGAGAGAGCCCCCTACATACGGTGCGTTTAATGTAAGTTGTTTATACCAAGTACTCAGGGAAAAGTTGCATCTTTGGGGATAGTCTCAATTATACTTTCTGCTCTAATTTTCTATTTTCTTTGGATTAGTATTCATGGAATCTTTACTTATTGAGCACTTGGGGCAGTATGTTCTCTACAAATACTCATATCAAAAACTATGATTAGATAAGATATTAGATTAGATAAGATAAGAAATGAATTTTTTTGGCTCTTACCAAATCTGAATGGATTCAGTCATTTGTTGTAAATGGTAGGCTACAGGGTTTTCGGATCTGTCTAACGTTGTGATTCTGAACTGTTTTTACTCATAACATTTATAACAGCAAGAGTGTAGGTTTTTTCCACACCAATAACCAATTCTCCAACTCTCCAGACACCAACTGGGTGTCCTACATTTCAGTGCATTTCTGACACAGACTACCTGGAGTTAGCATCAGACTCCTCCGGTGTAAGGACTCAATTCCACAAGACTGTTCTCGCTTTGGATGCCAGTCACAAGTGTTGGGTACCCACACTTCTGTCTGACTTGGCTATAAAGTTGGGGATTACACACACACACACACACACTTCAGTAATTTTCTAGAATGGTTCACAAAACTCAAGAAAACATTTACTTACTATCACTGGTGTCTTAGAAAGAATACAAAGGAACAAGCGGATGAAGAGGTACATAGGGTGAGGTTCAGAAGGGTCCTGAGCTCAGGAGCATCTGTTCCTGGGGAGTTGGGTTGTGCTACCCTCCTGGCACATAGCTGTGTTCACCAACCAGAAGCTCTCTGACCCCCATGGTATAGAGGTTTTTATGGAGGTTCCATTACATAAGCATGATTGATTAATTCAGTGGCCATTGGTGATTGAACTCAATTTCTAGCCCCTCTGGAAATTGGGCTGAATGTCCCAATCCTCTAATCTGATGGTTGGTTTCCCCAGCAATCATACCCCATCCTGAGGCTATCTGGAGGTCCACCAAGGTCACCTTATTAGCATAAACTCAGGAAGTTACAAGGGCTTTAGAGCTTTGGGTCAGCAATCTGGGACAAAAACCAAATATATGCTTCTATTGTATCACAATGATCTTGACAATCAAATCTTATTTTAAATAAATGGTAAGTTAATGTGTATTTACCTTCTAAAATAAATACATAAGATAATGATGAATCTTAATAAAATAAGAAATTGAGGCTTGTTTTAAATGAGTACTTTATATGAGGAGAGATTTAAACTGGAAACCTAAACTTTCACTGAAAAATGAAGGTGAGAGGTGTTGATATGCAAAATAAAATGCTTTTTGTTGGGGGAAAAAATGGCAACATGTTCTCATTTCACAGTAATGAATAAGCTAAGTGATGCTTATTAAATAAGTCCAGTGATGCAGGTAAAGGTTGTATCATTATTGTATACAAATCATGGATTGTTGCTATATTTGGGAATAGGGCTTCTCAACTGAGCTGAGAACAAACTTGTGAAGTTTGGGGTTTGCCAATTTTGACTGTCACTGTAACCCATGGCAGAGAAATAGCTGGATGCTGCTCAAATGATTCTGCTGCTCTCTTTTCCTCCCATTTCTCTTTAGCAAGCAGTGGTGACATAGCTCCACTTCACTTACATAATGGCTGGAGAAAGAGCCACAAGGACATTTTACTTGTCACAAGCTTCAGATAGTCATTGGAATCTGGTGTTGCACCTTCTAGAAATAAAAGGGTAGACCATTCTGATTTCAGACATAAAGGTATCAGCCCGGCTGGTGTGGCTCAGTGGTTGATCATCAACCCAGCACTGGGAGGTCGCGGCTCGATTCCCAGTCTGGGCACATGCCCAGTTGTGGGCCAAATCCCCAGTAGGGGGCATGCAGGAGGCCGCCAGTCAATGTTCTCTCTCATTGATGTTTCTATATCTCTTCCCCTATCTCTAAAAAAAAAAAAAAAAAAATCAATAAAGAAAAAAATTTTTTTTAAAGATATCATATAATAGACACAAAACACAGGTCACAAAGGTGATGTATTCTAAGCATGATATTCACCCATTTTTGAAACATTTCTTTCCACCATAGGACCCAAAGGAACGATTGGGTTGTCATCCTCAAACAGGATTTGCTGATATTCAGGGACACCCATTCTTCCGAAATGTTGATTGGGATATGGTATGTACTTTTGATGATTTCGTTTTCATTATTATCTTGGGCCAAATTTTATTGCTTTGAAAGAATGTTGAAAAACTAGTGTATTGCAGCCTAAAGTACTTAAAACCACTCTCTAATGTGCTTTCTGAGAAGCTTTTAAAACAATAAAAACTTAGAATATTAATTTAATGGAGCAGGTTGTAATATTATTGAGACCTGCATTAGTGTTCAGATTTGTAAATTATTTCCATCATTGTGAATATTACAGAACCTTACTGAGGGACTCACTTTAATAAGACTGGGAAAACATCTGAGGGCAGAGAAGAAATATAGAGGGGATTTTTCTAAGAATGCAGGCTTGAACTGTCATCCAATATGTCTTTCTAGATGGAACAAAAGCAGGTGGTACCTCCCTTTAAACCAAATATTTCTGGGGAATTTGGTTTGGACAACTTTGATTCTCAGTTTACTAACGAACCTGTCCAGCTCACTCCAGATGATGAGTAAGTAATTCTACAGACTGAAATATTTTATAGTTTTTTGAAAGTTCCACTTTTAGTGCCTATACAATGTTTCATTATCAGATTATACTATAATTTATCTAACCACTGAGTTACCGAGTATTTGAATCTGTTATATAATTATAAATTATGACAATAACTGCCACTTTCTACTTTGATTTACATGCATTATCTTTTAATTCTCACAATAACCTTGAAAACCTAGTTATTGTCATCTTCATTTTACAGAAGAAGAAACCGAGGCTCAGAGAAGTTAAGCACAGTCACACAGCTCAGGGCAGAGCCAGGACTCAGACCCAAATCCGGGTGACTGAGGCCTGTGCTCTTTTCGCTGCACTGCACTGCTTTTCATTTTGATGGTCATCTTTGAGTTCCTGAGCATTACCTTAAGATAGATTCCTAGAAAGGGAATTAGGTCAAAGGGTATGAACATTTAAAGCTCTTGATATGTATTGCCAAATTGCTTTTTAAAAGATTACATCAACTTATCAAGTCCAGCCAGCAGTGATCTCACGTAGCTTTGTGTTTATGTTTACAATATGGTTTAGAATAATTTGGGATGTTTTGATCCTTTATCTGTCATTACAGAGCATTCTCTCGTCTCAAGGAGGCCCTTACAGTTTGACAGTCATGTACATTCTGCTGATTCTTTTCCCATTCCTCATGGCAGTTGTTCCAAACTATCTGTACATTTTAGAAACCTTCCTCCTACCCCTGCCTCCATCACTCTTAATGGTTTAACCCAGCTTACTTCCTTTTCAGCTGTCAGTAGGCTGCCTTGCATCTCGGAACTGCTTTCTAACTCTTCTTGACCTTGTTCTTCTTTCCTGTTCTTAGAAGGCTTTCCCTCTTTTGCAAGGGGTGCTCTCCTATTTTTCTAGACCTGTTCCCTTGTTTTCCTCCAGGGTTTTATTGTGTCAGTTGCCTCCATTACTCTACCTTCTTTAATTTCTTTTTTTCAGCTTCTTTCCCTCTGCTTATAAACATGTTCAGATATCCTAATTTGTTTCCCTGAATCTTAGCTCTTCTTTAAGCCACCACATTCTTTTTCTCATTTTCATCTGCAAGCTTTTTCAAAGATAGTTCATAGATACTCATGGTAAAGGAAAAATAAGCAGTATCTCTATCAGATGCCTTCAGAGTAGTCAACATTGATTGCACTTTCTTGCTGCCAACACTCTAACAAACTCTTACAATTTAACCTGCTCCTTCAGCTTTTGAAGGTTGAATTGACTTCTTAATTTCTAAACTTTAAGGCATTTTTCTATAAGTTCTCATCTCCCCTGATGTCTATAAAGCATGTGGCACTCATGGCCTTGCTTTGGCTGACACTACCCATCCTGGTTCTACTTCATCTCTATGGCCACTTGTCATCTTTTCTTCCCTGTGCCCTTGAGACTAGGATGTTCCATGGTTCTGTTCATGACAGCCTTCTGTTTGCTAGATGCAGTTTGTACCTTGCAGATTTCAGCCAGCTCCGTAGCATGGACACCAGCTATTAAAAATGACTCCCAGCGCCCAGCCAGTGTGGCTTAGTGAGTTGAGCATCATTCCATGGACTGAGAGGTCCCAGTTCAATTCCCAGTCAGGGCACATGCCCGGGTTTTGGGCTTGATCGCCGGTAGGGGGCGTGCAGGAGTCGGCCCAGTCCATGTTTCTCTCTCACACTGGTGTTTCTTTCTCTCTCTCCTTCTCTAACAAATCAGTAAAAACATACCCAAAACCTGGTCTTGTGCCCTGACCGGGAATCAAACCAGGACCTCTCAGTCCATGGGACAACGCTCAATCTACTGAGCCACACTGGCTGGGCTTGGCAAACAATTATTGAGCAAAAGGCACTATACTAAGCACTAGACATTCAAAGATGATCGACATTGGCCAATTTTGCAAAATGCTTACTGTCTACTAGCGGAGAGAGATATACACCCAAATCATTATTTCAGACAGCATCCTGTTTTAGAAAGAGCACTGGATTTCATCAAAAGAAAGGAATTTTAATCCAGACGCCACTTCTTACCAGTTGAGTAACCCGGGTGTGAATTGCACAACTTTTCTGAGCCTGTTTCTTCTCGTATTGCCTACCTCACGAGGCTGCTGTGAAGAATAAATGAATGATGGTTTCTAAAGCACACAGCCCTTCCCTGATATCTGTCCTTAGCTTCATTTCCATTCGCTGTTTAACATCTCCCCTGGCTTGTCAGACAAGCACCTCAAACATATGAAGTCTGAAATCAAAGTAGTGACCCTTTATGGTCTCTTTTTCTGTTGTTCTCAGTGAGTTTCTTGTTTTTATTTACCTTTTTCTGCTCATTGCACCACCGTGCATTCCTGCATCCAGATTCAGAGTATCAGTGATCATTGACTCCTCCTTTTCCTTAAAAAACTACATAATACCTTCATCTGCTGAGTCCTTTTCTATTTTTTCTTTACTTCATCATTTACATCAGATCCTTTTTTATTCACATTGCCATAAGCCCAGTTCAAATCTCTTTCAAATCATACCTAGAATATTATGCCACCGTCCTAATTGGACTCCTTTACTTCACAACCCACTCTATACACCTCATGAAGTACCACTCCATTTCTTTAAATCCTTACATCAGAAACCTTTAGCAACTCCTGCATCTGCCTAGCAAATAAAACCTGTCCCCTTAGCTAGCATTTAATGCCTCGCTGTGTTCTGATCACTCTTGGTTACTCACCATTCCCTGGTAGTGTGCTGCTGACCTTTGCTCCTGCCATTTCCTCTGTGTTCCTCCTTAATTTTTATCTATTGAAATCTTCCCCATCTGACATAGCTATCTCAACTGCAGCCCAATCTTTGATGAATCAGGGTGAATCTCCATAGTGTAAACATCACTGGATTCTTTGAGCTAGCCATTCCTTCCTTCCAGAATCTTCTGCCACATTGGCAGCCTTCTGTTCCTGTGCTCAACTCGAATAAATTAACTGCATCCTCCAGACCTAGCATGATCTTTCATAATTTCATTCAGTGTTTGTGAAATGAATGCTGCCTTTTATATTTCTCTAACTAGAAGTCACCCTTTGGTTTTGTTTTACTTCCTTTTTTTTTTTTTTTTTTAAATTTAAAATTACAGTTTACATTCAATGTCGTTTGTATCAGTTTCAGGTGTATAGCACAGTGGCCAGACAATCACATACTCCACCAAGTGTTCCCCCTGACATTTCCAGTACCAACCAGCATCATACATAGTTATCACAATATTTCTTACCACATTTCCCATGCTGAACTCCACATCCCCATGACTGTTCTGTAACTACCAATCTGTGCTTCTCAAAAAATATGGAATGTTTCACGAATTTGCATGTCATCCTTACCCAGGGGCTAATCTTCTCTGTATCCTCCCGACTATAGTGTATGTGCTGCTGAAGCAAGTACCACCCTTTTCTTGAAATAGAAATGTGTTTAAACTAGGACTTAGCTCATCCTGTATGAAAATTAGCAGGCACTGCTTTCTTTTGTAGCTTTCTGTTATATAAGGTACCTTTCTCCTTGAAGGACAGGGCTCTATCCTGTGGAACTTGGTGCTTTGCAATATGATGCATACGTTGAAGTATTAAAATATTCGATAGTACTGCTCACTCTTTTTGTATATGAACTAGAAGCCCAGTGTAACAGAATGTCAGCCTCTCCCCTCCCCATGTCCCATTACCTGCCTTGATGTTCCTCCCTTATCTGGTCTCAGTGTACTTGTTCCTGCTGCCTTTTCCTTTTGGTTGATGTCTTCTTGGCCTTCTCTTCACCATGTATTCCGTCTGGCTATTGGAGTTACTACTAAAGTGAATACTAATTCAGACCTGGATGTGTACCTGTGATTATGAATGCTATTCAGATGAAAAGTTAAGATGAACTAGAATTGTGACAACTTGTACCTTTAAAATCTCAGATCTTCAGTTTTGGACTATATTTTGGTTCTAAAGTTGCTTGCCAGTTTATTAGTCTTTTTTTTTTTTTTAATTTTATTCCTAGGACCCTTGATTCTTCTAAAAATGTTTTGGGGTTAATCTAAAAACATGTAAAATTTATTTCCGTAATTTATATAAATTAGCCATATTTTTTGTTTCTTAATCTTATATTACTATTTAAATAAAAAATTGAAGAAATCTTGATTATGAAAATTAATTTATTTTTGTTCCAACAGTGATATTGTGAGGAAGATTGATCAGTCTGAATTTGAAGGTTTCGAGTATATCAATCCTCTTTTGATGTCTGCAGAAGAATGCGTCTGATCCTTATTTCTCAACTATGCATTTTGCTTGTGTTGCCATTTAATGCATGGAAAACAGCCTGGATATAATGAACCATTTGATATTTGCCACCTACAAAAAAAAGCACTCAATATCTTGTATTGTTGACTATAAGAGTCAATTATTACATCTAAATTTAACTATGAAAAGAAACTAAGACTAGTTTCTAGACAATCGTGTCAAAATTTAGTTATACTGATAGTCTGTCAGCCTACTGATGAGTAACAAAGTTGTCTTTTTCCTTTGACGGAACTACTTACCACTGCTTTTCAAAAGAGTTATCTGTTGCATTAAGGCACATGGTATTACATCATCAGCCTCCCCTGATTTTTGTTACTCTTCCTTAAGTCATTTAAGTATTTAATTTTGGAATAAAAGATTAATTCAAAATATAGCATCTTGTTATATTACCTGTTAGTTTCTGAATTCTTTGTGTTTAAAAATTCAGCTGGAAATTTTATCATTGCCTTAGATAATTACTGATTTTTAAGGCAACGGGCGTTAAATTACTTGCTTAGAATTGGGGGATACAGATTCTTCTTGAAGAAAAAAATTAGGCATATTTTATTAAGAATCAGATTCCAAATCATTAACTGTTTTTGAAATACTGAATTATCTAATATATTGGGGGGCAGGTAGTTTCTGAGCTAGTCCTTTTAGCCAGAACTTTAACTGGAATGTTAACAAATGTAGTTAAAAGGATCCAGGATTTAGTTGATTGGAAAATTTCTCAATATATAAAAAGGAAAAAATAGAAATTTAAAGTAGATACAAAAAAGTACAATGGTAATATTTATTTCTTATTGGAGAGTATATCACAGTTGCTTTTGTGACTTGATTAAATAAGGAGGCACTCACTTGTTACCAAACTTGTAAAAGCATTCCATTTATCCAGTGGAGACAGAATGTATACTATTTTTCCTTATAATTTAGTATACAAGAGAAGAATTTATCTTCCAAATAATGTATTAAACATGCTTCTTTTCTACCCAAAACACATTATCCCTACTTGCCTGTTTATGGAGTCTTCAGTGAAATCCATGAATAATAATAAACATGAGTAAATGTTAAAAACACACACACATATACTCACACACATCACAGTTCCACTCCTTAAGTGAGTTTTTGTCAAGTAGGTTAACACATGTAAGACAGAATATAATACATTTCAGAGGCAGAGTTCTTCAGATTATGTTTTATTAATATTAGTGTTTAGCAAAGCTTTATTTAAAGAGATGCTAGACATAGCATCCTTCTGTTTATTTTAAATATTTTTTTATGAAAAGGGACTTAAAATGTAACCATAATCATCTAAATTACTTGTAATTACCAATCTTAGTAAAATTTAGTTTTCAGGAGAGCTATAGAGTTTTCAGCTTAGAATGATTTAAAATTTGTAAGCATTTAATAAAATATCTTCTTTTTTTGGATGCTACATTTCATTAGAAATATAATTTTTTCAAAGTTTCTGGCCATGTACTCTTTTATATATATATATATATATATATATATATATATATATATATATATATATATTTTAAGATTAAAATAAAAAATTTTTAGGAAGAGAAACACCAGTCGGTTGCTTTCCTTACACACCCCAACCAGGGATCGAACCCACAAGCTGGGCATGTGCCCTGACTGGAAATCGAGCCCACTACCTTTTGGTGCACCGGATGATGCTCCAACCAACTGAGCCACACCGGCTTAAATAATTAAGTCTGAAAGCAATGAAAACCTCAAAGGAAAAATGTATATATACATTCACATGTTTATTTAAGAGGTATATATGTTTCTCAATACATGAAACTTGTTTTTTTTTTTTAAGCAGTATTCACTTCAAATCATAAACTTACAGAAAATTCTGACATCTTATATCAGAAATATGTTTATGATCTTGCTTTTAAGTGGTGCTGTTTCCCCTAGGGCATTAGTTCTAAAATTTTAGAATGTAGAGTAAGTTTGTTTAAAAGCATATTACTGGGCCAACCTTAGAATTCTGTTGGGTCTTTGAACCACATTTTGAGAAAACTTTGAGCTATTCTTTTATGTTGTCCTGTAGTTAAATATTAGAAAGAGTATTCATGATAAAACATTTTGAGTAGGGGTAGGCAGTGAGTTACTATTGTATCTACTATTTTAAATAAAATTTGAATGAATGACTTAAAGTTAGATATAGTTTCAAAAAAAAAAATTCTGTTTTCTATCAATAATGTTGCAAAAGAGCATTTTTTTGTGATGAGGTTTTAACCATTATTCAGGGCGGTCTTTTGTTTTTAAATCTTTTTTTTAAACTAATAAGATTTACTGTGTATATTTGATACAGAATTACATCACAAATATGTTTCTAATTGTGTTATGTTTTTTGTAGTCTTTAAGTGGCACGCCAATCTTTTTTATATTATATAAAGTTCTTTGAAAATACTCACCAGGGGGAAAAGGCAGTTGACAGGATGGTTGGAATTTTGGTGTTCTAAGAAAAATTTATTTTGTATAAGCATGTGGTCAGATCATTTTATGTGTATACAGCCTGAATTGGCTATCAGGTGTTTTGCTTTATACATTTACTTCTTGTTTTGTTTTTGCCATATAAATTACTGCCTTTGTCATCATAATGTAGTCTGTATTTGTGTACCTTTTTTTTACTTTAAAATCTTTAAATAAAATGTTTAATACGCATCAAGATTGGAACATTTTAAATTATGTAACATATCATAAATTTGTTTAAGTATATCAAAATTTATTCCAAAAGAAAAATGAGAATGTTAGAGTTTGGAATTTTGCTGTACTTCAAATAGCATTCTGGGAATACTTATGCCATGTTATAAACATTCACTCGTATAATAATCAGTGTATTTTTAAACTTGCCTGTCTATACATCTCCTTTATTAGAAAACAAATTAGTAAAAAAAAAAAAAAAAAAAAAAATCAGCTGAACATAGAGCATTTTAACTAATTTTAAAACTGAAGGAGATCTGAACATAATCAGAGCAAAACAGATTATTCCCAGATTATGTTCTACAGTGAATTCTAGATCTTCTCCTTTCTCAATTGTAGCTTAGTGTACATATATAAATAAGTGTGAGTCTGGTGTCCCACATTTACCACCCTATTTAGAGTATCTTAATGTTTCTTTCCCTTCACAAGAATGAAATCTTAAGTGCCTTTGCTTTTTTCTTAATTGACTTGTCAGAGAGCTAGGGACTGTGTAATAAAACCATCAAAGACTGATTTCCTGTATCTGTTATTTTATCCTAAATTCAACTCTTGCTTAAAATGGAGTTAAAGTACTGTCCAGGCTAGCCCCTGTTTTCATTGAGTTACTAAAAATCCAAAAACAGAGTCCAAAGAGGAGTTTGAAGCTTTAGGCATTTAGTCACTGGGGCAACCAACCAGTTTCTCCCAGAAAGCCAATATCCTGTCTTTAAAATTTAACGGGTTGGCCCTGACTGGTTTTGCTCAGTGGTTAGAGTATCAGCCTGCGGTCCAGAGAGACCCAGGTTTGGTTCCCGCTAAGGGCACATACCTTGGTTGCAGTTTGTCCCCGGGCCTGGTTGGGTCGTGCAGGTGGCAGCCATTCGATGTGTCCCTTTCACGTCGATGTTTCTCTCTCTCTCTCCCTCCCACTCTATCTGAACAAAAAATGGAAAAATGTCGTTGGGTGAGGATTAAAATAATAATAATAATAATAATTAAATAATATGATGAAACTCCTACAAGAGTAAAAAAATAAATAAAATAAAATTTAATGGGTTGGCCCAGCCAGTGTGGATTAGTTGGCTCAGTTGGTTGAGCGTTGTCTCATGGACCAAGAGATCCCTGGTTTGATTCCCAGTCAGAGCATATGCCTGGGTTGCATCTATCCCCAATGGAGGGTTTGTAGGAAGCAATTGATTGATGTTTCTCTCTCATCAATGTTTCTCTCCCTCTCCCTTCCTCTCTAAAATCAATAAAAAATATTTAAAAAATAAAATTTAACAGGTTGGTTTCTGGACAACACACAACAGTAAGCCATTTGCTGTATTTGATGGTCTTCCTTTGTAGATTTACCCTTCTCTGCTCTAAGACTTTAGGGACTAGTTAAAACCCAGATAGTCTGAGCAGTTTGTATTCAGAGCTTAAATTCCAGAATATACTTGGAATTTACTATGCATGGTGCTAAATAAAGCTAATAAAAAGACAGAATCTGTACCCATGACATTTGAGATGGAATACACATGGAGGAAGCTGTTCGTCTTCACAACGAACAGTCCAGTGCTAAAAGCTAAATAAATGCAGTAAAATATACATTATGTGGCCATGATATTTATCAGCTTCACCAATAAAACTTGTGAGTTATACTTACATGTATAATTGATGCAGCTAGACATTTTTCAGATTTATGATAGATTCCACAAAGTTTTCTAAATTCAAATATATAATAAAATCTTAGATGCCTATATATATATACTTATACACGTGTGTGTGTGTGTGTGTGTGTGTGTGTGTGTGTGTGTGTATATATATATGGTTATTTTTGGCTTTTGAGCTTAGAAATATGAATTGGATTTTACATGGAAATGGGACAGAACATTGTCCAATGCTTTTGCTTAGATTAGATTTTCTACAGTTCATCTCTGAAATTTATAATTAAAGTGAATCCAGCTCAGAATTTGAGTGATTTTTGGATGTGAAATGTGGCAGTCACCTCCATGTAGCAATTTTTGCCTTACAGGCATAACAGTGTCCTTTTTTTTTTTTCTTTATTGATTTTAGAGAGAAAGGAAGGGAGAGGGGGAGAGAGACAGAAACATCGATGAGAGAGAACATCAGTTGGCCACCTCCTGCATGACCTCTACTGGAGATTTGGCCAACAACCTGGGCATGTGCCCTGACTGGGAATCGAACTGGTAACCTCTTGGTGCATGGGTCGATGCTCAACCACTGAGCCACACTGGCTGGGCTAACTGTCTTTTTATTCCAGTTATGGAAGGAAAGGAAATTACAAGTATCTAATAATTTATTTTTTTAAATTCTCACCCGAGGATATTTTTCCATTTATCTTCAGACAGAGTGGGAGGGGGAGAGAGAAACATCGATGTGAGAGAGACACATACACTGGTTGCCTCTCCCACAACCTGACCAGGGCCAGAGACCGAACCACAACTGAAGCACATGCCCTTGACCAGAATCAAACTCGAGACTCTTTGGTCCTCTGGCTGTTGCTCTAACCACTGAACCAAATCAGCCAGGGCCAAATATCTAA